TAGTCCCTTAGAAACATGCCCCACAGTATATTGGTGGAAAAAAGTATGTGTCATATGGTCCCACTTGTGTGCGTACACATATACATGCATGGGAAATTGCTTGGAAAGCTATACTGGCAAAGCTTTTAACTGTAGTTGTCTCTGAGTGGTATGATTAAGGGTGACCTCCCCCCTTTAACCTTTCTTTGTGCGGACTTTTACAGTGAGCATGTCTTTTTTATGATCAGATAAGTGGGAAGAAAATTCTTTCCAGTGGGAAGAAAAATCTTATGAAATCCAGAAGTTGTCTGAGCCTGTGGTATTTCTCTGCTGTTTCCTCCGAAAGCACATGTGGGCTCACATGTGCGCAGAGTGAGCGTGAGGAGCAGGGTGGGGTGGGGGAGTGCCTGGGATGGGCTTGTAATTCATGGAGAGCTTAGGGCTTTTTTGTCACTGATTCTTCCCTGTGGGGTTTGTCATTTATCAGCTCTCAGACTAGAGCACCAATCATGAGGGGTTTTATTTTTGGTTTTTTTTCTTCATACCTTTTGTTTAGGAGTAAATGACAAGAAACAGCTGTCCTGGGACCACGCTTTAGTTTAGTTAAGGCTTTTTCCTCAGCCTGTGTGGGCCGCCTTTCTAATGCTTTGCTTTTTCTCTTCTGACCTCCCTAGACCGAGTGACTGTTCTCTACAGAAGCAAAGCCATCAGCTATACCTGGCCTGACCCATTTTCCATGGCAGACTCCAGCCCTTGGGTTCATATTGCCCTAGGTGATGGCAGCACCCTCCAGACCAAATTGTTGGTAGTTGAAGATTCTTATTTCGCCAGGGGTCTTGCATATCCACAGCTTATCCTCAGTTCTGGCACCTCTAGTTTTCCATCTAAGCTTCAGTTGATGTTAATTTTAGGCAAAGCTTTTGGTTATAAAGACCAGTACCCACTAAGCCAGCTCAAGTAAAGATGGTCTCGTTGTAAATCCTGTACAGGACGCAATCTCCTGGACCATCTTAGGTCATGAAATAGAGGACAGCTGGCCTCACAGGGACAGGAACCACAGTGTCAGAAATTGAGGCTGTTTTTTCTCTCTCAGGAGTCCTGTAAGTTCCTCATCTCCTTGTATCTTCTATTTTTCCCCATCTCTGCTTATCAGCTTCTCCTTTCCCGTGGCAGCCATTCCTCACCTTACATCAGGACTGTGTAGAGCCTGCCTATTGCTTTCTAGCCCAAATAGCAAGAGAATTTGGCTGAGTTTATTTAACCTGTGACTGGCACCTCATGGATCAGATGTCCAGCTTCGGTCCGTTAGCTGAGGTCACGTGGCAGGGTTACCCTTTAGGGGCCGTCAGAGAGGCAGACACGATAAGAAGTTGCCTGCCACAGATGAGCTTGCCAGCTATTGGAACTAGAGAGACCTTTAGGAGGCAGAGGCAAACTTCTGGAATAGTTAGACTTACTAAAAGATTGTAAGACTTAGCAGGCTCCTGCCTTCATGCAGATCGGTGCAGATGGTCACAACTCAGGAGTACGGCAAGCTGCTGGAATCCAGAATGTGAGCTGGAACTATGACCAGTCTGCCGTTGTGGCTACTCTGCATTTATCAGAGGTAAGGCCTGAGCCCAGCTTCTGGGGACCCTGCTGGTGTTTTAATATGTGTACTTCTCACAAGAACTGTTCTCTCTATTACAGGCCACAGAAAACAATGTGGCCTGGCAGAGATTTCTTCCCTCTGGGCCCATCGCTCTGCTCCCGGTAAGAAGTCCTTCTGGCTAGTCTGCCTAAACACATCCAGCCTTCCTCTTTTTAGGACTTCGTTTTTTCTCGGCCTTTTTCAGGTTTCACGTGAATTACCCCAGGCTAGCTTTATTTCCCCTTCATACTTTTATGCCTGAGAGTGCCCAGCAACTAAGTTTAACTCTTAGTGTTGATGTTGTTCTTCGGAGACAGCTCTCAGACACTTTGAGTTCCTTGGTTTGGTCCACATCCCATGAACATGCAGCAGAGCTGGTCAGCATGGATGAGGAAAGCTTTGTGGATGCCATCAACTCTGCCTTTGTGAGTATCAACTTGTCCACCTGATGATTTGTTGCAGGGGTGGGTACAGAAGGGTGGTTTTGAGTAGGAAGAAGAAATAACCAGCCAGCTGCCCTTTTGTAATTGAAAGGTTTGGTCTGGATTACATGAAGGGTCAGTACCTTGTGTGCTCTTTTGAGGGTCATGGGTTGCTGTTTTGCTGATTGAAACAGCTGCCTAGGTGGCAGTTAGCAGTGGCCTTTTTTTTTTTTTTTGAAGCTGTAATACTTGGATAATCTCAAATAGCTCTCCTAGGTCCCAGGTACCTGAATCTTTGAAGCCTAATTCATCAAAAGTGTTTTGGAAAGGGACATTTCATTGGGGAGCTTAAGAGTAAGCTTTAGACAGACATGGGTTCGATACTGGTACTAACACTAAGTCGCCTGAAAAATGGAAATACTATCTTCAACTTCTCCTGGGATGGTGATGGTAATAAAAATCGCAAGACTTAAGATGAGAGACTTTACAATGCTTGCAACATACCTTATACATTCTAGATGCTCAGTAAAGAGTAATGATGATTCTGTAGTAATATAGTTTTTAGATAATATGGCACAGTATTTTTGAAGTTTAAGTGCTGTAATTATCTCAATTCACTACTAGTAAATTGGCAGCATTTATTGAGCACTTAATGTGTCAAGCACCAGTGAAGAGTTTTACCTGTGTGTATTTAAATCTGTGACCCTTTGAGGCAGGTACTCTTACCATGCTCACGTAGAGATAGGTAACTTGCCCACGGTCACACATATCATGCAAAGCTGGATTCTGAAAAGAGGCTGGCCCTCAACCCTGTGGTTTTAACCAGCTAACTCTACTACCCCACTAATGACTTCATACAGAATAACTTAAGCTTCACTGCTCTATAGTAACAACAACAAAGGAACTGAACAGACTGAAGTAGCTTCCAAGATATATGTTACCCTCCAGGGTCATCTAGCATATATCCCTGGCACAGGCCTTTGCAGTACATTCATTTAGCAATAATTACAAGTGCCTTCTATGTAAAAGGGTCTGGAGAAAGACAGATGAGACACAGTCCCTGCTTTTAGGAAGCTCATAGTCATGTGAGAAGGAAAAATACATGACAACTTCAGTACAGCGGTAGAAGTATGAGGTGAGCACCTATAGGAGTTCGGAGCAGGGCTTATAAAAAGAGCCAACAGCCTCTGTTGAGGATGCTGGTGAACTAGAAGTGGGAGGACATCCTAAGCAGAGGGGATTGTCGGAGGCAAGAGGATGTTGTAGAATGAGCTATACAGTGTGGCTAGTGCAGGGTGAGAGTGGGGACTAGTGAAAGGTCAAGCTCAGAGGTAGGCAGGGGCAGCTCAGGAGCAGTTTGGCTTGACCTAAAACCTGTGGGGAGTGATGGGAAGCTGTGTTTTGCATGTATTTGAGGGACTTGTCACTTGTGGTCCTGATCATTTTAGGCATGTTAGGTACCATTACTCTCATTGAATTTTTAATTCCCTGCTAGTCACTGATGCAATTTCACATTGTTTTGTGGCCGACACTACTCAGTGGAGTGACGCTAACCACACGGACCTCATCGACTCGGCCAGCTCCGTGCTGCAGTATGCTGTTGACTTTCTGAAGCCCACCAAGGTCTCAGCGCGCCAGCTGCCTCCTAGTGTAGCCAGCGTGGACGCCAAAAGCCGAGTCCAGTTTCCTCTTGGGTTGGGACATGCTGCTGAGTACGTCCGGCCTCGGCTGGCACTCATTGGGTAAGATAATAGCAGAGCAGGGCTACTCCCTTCTCATCGGCTGCTGGAGGCCACACCTAAACTCTGCTTTTAGGGATGCAGCCCACAGAGTCCATCCACTTGCAGGACAAGGTGTCAACATGGGCTTTGGGGATGTCTCCAGCTTGGTCCATCACCTCAGTGCTGCAGCCTTCAATGGGAAAGACTTAGGTAAGGATTCAGGTACCTCAGAAGTATCCAGAGGTCATGTAGTTAGGGAAGATCAGGACCCTAAAATGCCCCTCAGTAGCCCGATGTGGTGGACATAAATGTATGTGGTTTTCTAGGGGGAAGAAAAAGGACAAACTTCACTATTGGATTAGGGATGTAACCTTCCTCTTTCCTCCAGGCTCCATGAGCCATCTCACAGGTTATGAGACAGACAGGCAGCGTCACAACACTGCTCTTCTGGCTGCTACTGACCTGCTAAAAAGGCTCTACTCCACCAGTGCCACTCCGCTCGTGCTGCTCAGGACATGGGGCTTGCAGGCCACAAATGCAGTAGCTCCACTCAAAGTAAGAGGTCACTCATGGCTCTCTAAGGGTCTTAGTCACTCACTGAGGAGTGACTCTGCCAAGACTTGAGTTATTTGAATTAATTTTCTTAGCTGTAAAATTATTTTATCTTCCCCAGTGGTTATAAGCAAAAACGCCCCTGTTGGGCTTGCTGGTGCTAGGGCCCATCTAAGTAGTAACTTTATATAGTATAAGGGCTTAAAATAGCGCCCAGAGGCTTTCAGAGATAAGATGCTTCAACTCCTTTGGCTGCTCAGCTTTTTTCCCCTGAGAAACATCTATTTAAAGATGTTTTGGAGGGACTCTTGGGAGAAGTATCTATCTGGGACTTTTGCTAAGTTTTTGCTTTAATCACTTTGGATACTTCAAAGTATTTTCTTCACCTGACCTCCTACCTTACAGTGCCAGAGTATCACTCACTTTGTTTCATTTTTCCTTAGGAACAGATTATGGCCTTTGCAAGCAAATGAATGCTCCTCTTCTGCAGATTATGTTGAAGAAAAATGAACATCTCTTCCCAAAACCATATTGTTTCAAGATTTAATTTAATAAATTTACTTTATATTAGTATAGTCTAGTCTCTTTCCTTCCTTATTTGATGGGCCTGTGGAGTTCAATTAATGAATGATAGTTTGCTGTGAGGAGGGCATACAAAACCAAGCCAAGAAAAACCCTGAAGAAAGACTGTTACAATTTTTGTTGAAAAGAGCTTTTTATTACTAAAACAAATTGCTAAGGTGCTGTCTCATTCATTTTTACTTGTTAACAATCCTTTCTAAAGAAAGATTTATACACATTTTTTTTAAGTGCTGGTCACAGATTTATGCAGTTCTTTTTGTAAAGATAAGAATTAGAAATATTCAATCTATACATTTTTGTTTGAATTGCTGTTTTAAAATTAACAAATTAAATAAATTGCTTTAACCTTTGTTGTAGGTGCACTGGATTTTGTGAAAAGAAAACCAAATCTCATTAATGCTAATTATTACTTCCTTATTTCAGCACCAGATCTCAATTTTTTTTATGGTTCCTCTCCGGGATACCCTTTTATTTATAAAACAATAAATAACTTCATTGCACAGGTTTGAAGACCTCAGGAACCACGCCAAAAGGGAAAATCTAATTAGCAGCAGAATTTGTTCATTTGCTTGCAGACTGGTGGCTGATCGGGGCCGGGGGTGCTGGGGTATTTGAAGAGCTCACTTCACAGTACCAGAGATGCCTCTTGAAGAGATTTGTGAATCCATTAGCTTTGGATATGGTAAAGAACATTTTGCCCAAAAGTCTGCTTTGATGATGAAATGAGAAGAAACAGTCTGCAGGGGAGTTTTTCAGGCAAATGTAGAAAATTTATAAGATACTAGAGTAAAAAAGTGACAATGTCACAAACATTCCTGGAATCTCAGGATAAACGTGCCTAGAATTAAAGATGGCAACTACTGTGAAAGTTGTGTGACTACTAGCAGAGTCTAGAAAGGTCATCTATGGGGAGCAGAAAAAACTCATCTTTCAAAAAAATTGAAAGGTAACACAGGTAAGGAGACCATGGACTCTCTAAAAGTATGCAAATAAAATCAGGCAAGATAGGAAGAGTTTTTAAGGCACACCTTGCAAGGACCTCCATAACCCACAGAGGATGTCCTTCATATGATGATGATAAACACATGTCTATGTGCCAGGCCATGTCCTAAGTACTTGAAATATATAAACACATTTATAGCAAAGAAACAACCAGCAATATTAGACACTATAAGATTACTTAATAAGGCGCCCAAAAGGTACACTAAGGGGCAGAAAGGACATTATAGAGAAATCATTTTCTCTAAGAAATAAAAATTCCTATTCTGAATTGGTTCTAAAATTGATAAACTGGTTGATTCTCCAAATGTTCTAATCGAGGTTATCAGAATATATGTAGATACATTTCTGAAGTTAATGCAAGAGTTCTGGAAGTACTTGGAATACACAAAGGAGTCTAAACAGCCTCTGTTTTCTGTTTGTAAGAAAAGCTTGAGAAAAAAATGTGACAAAGACCAGGGAATCTTACCTCTGGATTCATCAAGCTGGAGGAGCTTTTGGTGAACACAGCTTACCTCTTGGGAAAACTTGGTTTCTGTTAGAGAAACTGGTCTCTCCCTAATCATGTGGAATCACATATAGCATATAACTGGGTCTAGCACTCTACCTTTGTGACAAAAATGGTAAGGGGTCTAGAAGCCATGTGTTGCATTAAAGAAGAGGCCACAAAGAACTTGGAGGAATTTTCTTTAAAAGACTGAACAGCTACGAAAGGAGCGATCTGAGAAGACAGTTCAGCTCAATATAAGGAGAGGTGATTTTTAACATCTGTGCAGTCCCAAATGGAACGACCTGTCTGAAGGAAAACATGCCTAACCAGAAGCTGAACAACAGCCACCTAGAAATGTTACAGGAATTCTGCAATAGAAGACTGGATTATATCTTTAGGCTGCTTCCACCTCTAAAGATTCTGTTTCATTATGTATTAGCATTTTTTGAGGAAGGCAATAGGTATGAAGGTGACCTTAGTATAATAAAAGTTAGTGTGAAGGGTGAAGAAATTTCACTTCGAATTTTTTTAAAAAACAACTAAAACTTTGAGGAGGAGGATATGGAAATTTGCCTAGGGACTTGCACATCAGATACTAAATATTTATTGACTCAGTGGAAAAACTTTAAAAAATGAGGTTCCCCAGGAACTAGTGTGAGGGCCAAGTATTTAACATCTTTTGTGAGAGAGAAAAGTGTACTGTGAGAGCTACGAGTTTGAGAGAGAGTCTCCATTGGAAAGTAGCTGGAGTTAAAGAGCCAAGATAAATGAGCCAGTGGGCAGGAAGATCTTTAAAGTCCAAGAGCACTCGAGTGGGTAGACAAGAAGCAGATGATGGTCATGTAGGAAAGTACAAGACAATGAATTTTAGGGAAAATAATTCACAAAAAAAGAGTTCAGAGCAGTCAAACTAAAATGGCCAACCAAATCAAATGTTAGGTTATCACCGAGAAAGGGTATCAGAAACCCTGGAACTAGACAAATAATTTAGATGTTAGCTAAAATAATCCAGGACCAGGTAGGAAGAGATCCTGCTATAAACAGAGTAAAAGGGAAAACTGAAAGGAGCTGTGTCCAAAATACAGATCCTTGAATAGCACAGCCTGAGGCCTCTGATCACAGACCAAAAGCTAGGGTATAGATGTATTTCTTAGAAATACAAAGTAAGTTTACGATGTACAGCCTGGAAGGAGGTACAGGCACTGAATAAACACATATAAGGTTGGACATGTTCATTAATCCCATGGTTAACGTATAAAAAGTTGATTAAAAAAAGGCAACCTATACAAGGCAGTCATACCCTCCAAAGACATGTCCTTAGAGACTGAATGGCCTCCTTTCTTAAGGCTGGAATCTGTGCAGGTAGGAGTTGCTTTCCATCCTGCTAAGAGTCCGGATGGATCTCAGCTGGCTGATGCAGCTAGCACAAAGCAGGACCACACAACTTCAGAGGTGGTACCTTTCTTTCCTCGAATTAACATGAAAAGCAAAACCAGATTTTTTTCCTTTTTTGTAGGAAGGGGGTGTGATAAGGGTTGGACCAGGGCAATGTGCAGGGAGGAAATAAATACTGGTGTTGATAGGCCATGGGATTGCAATCAGTCAGCTGAGTTTAACATGTAAGGAAAATTTAAATGTTCAAAGAAATGAGGCACTCAAATGGTTGAAATGAGTCCCTGGGTTCTCCAAGGTTGTTCCAAAGCTACTCATTTTGGCTCTCTGTGAAATATAAGCATGTTCAAAGATTTAGACTCTGGAACCAGCTGTGCAAGCAGAATGGTTAAATAACAGTTCATATTGGATGTGTAAAATCAATTAAACCCAGATCTCTAGACTTAAGGGCAAGACCTGTGTACAAAAGCCCCTTCCTCCTGATGAAGCCAGCTGCAGGGTTCCAATCCAGGCGATTTCCAGACTACCTCAGAACACAACTGAGTCTCCTCTCCTTCTCCCTTTAAAAGAGTTGTTGACAAGTGCAGGCCTCAGAGGAAGGGCTGGGCCTCAGTGGGAAATACCCAGAGACTGCAGCAGGTGAAAGGTGGCGCCCAAGGCCCAGCCTGTCTCTATGTTGTTCACTTTCTTTGTGAGCTGTTAGGAGGAGAGGAAAAAAAAAAGTCTTCACATTTTCATTCAATTTCAACTCTAGCAAGCAGGGCATCAGCAGAGAATACCTGCAAAGATCATCCCCATGGCCAAATCAAGGCAAAATTGGGAGTAGCCGATCTTTAGAGGCTTCCCCGCTACCCATCTCTGTAACAGTTTCCCTCCTGCTGTGGCCTGTTGCCCTACACCTGCCAAGCTGATCTCTGAATCTCCTGGCCCAGGCAAGTGGTCCCACCCAGGCCTTCCAGACAGGGCCTTCTGAACTCTTTCCCTATCCTGAACCTAAATATAACAGGACCTGGGACTAGATTTAGGGGTAGCAAAGAACATACTAAGCTCCTCAGTTCACACTTTGTAAGTAACTGCATCTTCTTAAGCACTAATTATTAACCAACCAAAGTACTTAGTGCCCTAAGGCATTCTAGGCCAGGTTGAGCCTCAATTAGTGCAGTGACCCCATTTTAGGCACCATTTCCTCAACTAATAAGGGAATTCGATTAGTGTTTATGAAACTTTTCTTCAGAATTCTGGGGGTTCCCTGGAAGTGCTTCAAAGAGAAGGGAAGGCAAATGGTGAAGGAGTTCCACGACCCCACCTCTGCTTCAACAGGCAGCTCCACTTTTATCAGTTTTGCCAGCATTCTGCACAAGCTTTTGTAGAGTAGAATGCTTTCTCTCTCTCTCTCTCTCTCTCTCTCTCTCTCTCTCTCTCTCTCACACACACACACACACACACACACACACACACACACAGAAACCAACTGACTGGTTTTCATCTGTCTAGTAGTAAGTTTTTATAACACAATGCTTTGTGGGCCTAAGGAAATCCATTCTAGTCACTGTGCCAAAACCTGAGGAGAATGGCATCTTGAGGTTTTGTCTGAGACATCCGAGTCAAACTGAGAGCGTTCCCTCATCAAATGCTCTCCTCGGCTGGGCCGAGACCCTACTGCTATAGATGCAAAACGAAGCTCTCTCTGGGACAGGGATAGAGCAAAAGGATGTCAGTACTGGAAATGGCAGAAACTTGTCCTTAAATAACTTGGTTACAGTTGATGCTTAAGTAGAGAATGTTGTTAACTCAGTACTATGTATTGAATACTTAGGATAACCTCTCTAATCCACAAATCTATCCCCAATTCATGTGAAATGCCTACACTGCTAACAATACCAGTATTAACAACTTATACTATTGCCAGGTATTGTGCTTTACAGGTATTATTATCTCAATTTTCATAACAGCCCTATAAAATAAGATAGTCTGAGAATACCTGTGTTTTGGATGAGGAACCTAAAAGTTAGAGAGGGAAAGTAAAGCACCTAAGGATAGAGTCAGTAAGCTTGCAGAATCAGAACCTGAATCCAGATCTGATGGACAACAAAGTCCATGCTTTAAATACTACCGTACTAATGTACTGGCTGTAACTCTTCTGTCTAAGCACCTTAAATGCTGATGTTCTTGGCAGGTAAAACACATTAAGTCCAAATACAAAAGAATTTGTGAAATCTGTATAACACAAGAAATTGGGTAATATAAGCTCACCTCGAACTGAGGAAACAGGAAGGGGAAGTGGCACAAAGAAAGGTGGTGGAGAAAGCTCAAAAACAGTACAGTCTACTTACTAGACCCCAAAGTTCAACATTTCCTTGTGCCATCTCCTCTAATAGACTACATGATATTTGAGGACAAATATTACATCTCACTCATCTTTGTAACTGGATTAAAGAGGGTCACATGCTAAAACCTGACAAGCTCAGGGAAGGCCCTCATGGTGGGCCTTACAAACCCAGAGACTGAAAGTAACCGCACCATGAAGTCTGATCATAAGAATTCCTAACTAAAAGTGGGTCATCGTGGGTAGTCATGTCCTAGGCCTATAGCTTCCTTGAAAAAGGTCAATCTTTACTTTCGAAATTGTCTATTGTCTTTGAGCATCTAAGATAGCATATTTTCGAAATGTTGGGATACTTTTCCTTTCCAGAACCCTCCAAGAAACAACTGCCGGCAGCAGAGCACAGACCACATGGTTGTCTTGTCGCCCGCATGTCATCTTGATGTACCGTAAATGTTTACTGCTCTGTACCCACTGCTGTAAAGATGTGTCTCGGTTTTACTTTTTATACAGTCTCAGAGATTCCCCCCCTTTGCTTTCTCCCAGCTCCCTAATCTACCACCAATGGATTTCATGTATGTCTCCTCCTTTCATTCTAATGTATAAAATAAGCTGCAAATTGACACTCTCCAGAACATTTTCTCAGTGTGTTGAGATTTTACTTCCCAGTAATTATCAGTTTGGCTCAAATAAACTCTTACAGGACTTTTTCTAATACTAGAGGTTCTTTCATTGACATAACCATAATGTACAATTATCCAATTATGGTATTGAAGACAAGAAGGTAAGTGGGATGGTTGAAATGGATGTGTTTAGAATAGATAAGTAAGTTACTACAGATGAAGTTGAGCCTCCATGTTCTAGAATGGATGGACAGAGATAGAAAGACACGATTCAAGAGGCACTGAATATGTGAGGCACATAAAAAATATATGACATTCTACATACACAAAAGGCATTCCAACATTCATGGGGTCTTAAATAAGTCACTCATTGGTGATGCTCATCTGCTCCCTCCTGTCCTCTGCCAAGTAAAACCATCTAACAGGCTGAGTAGGCTAATACTACCAGACAATGTACCTACCTCTGTGCCTCTCCAAACAGAGACTTGTGTGATGGCTGCAGGCAACTCCTGCCCTTGTGCCCCCTCCAGTTCTAATACTTGAAACCACACTGGTGGCAGCAGCAGAGGAAGGCAGGACATACAGGCCCAGGGTTCAGGGTTCACTTCCAACTTGCTTGCACCCTATCCTGTGTGTTCACCTATTCCACTTCTTTCCTGTTGCTTCTTGCCCTGAGTTTTGAAACTGATTTAATATTCCATGGGACCTGGGCATCTTAATTTGGGATGCAAGCCTTCTGCTCTATGACCTCTAGGACTGCTTGCCTGGTAGTATACTAGAAGCTGCCAGTGTATCAAGGTAATTCCCCACATTCACAGTGCCTTGCACAGTGCTTGTCCACAGCCCAAATAAAAATATGCATATTTCCACGAAAGCCACCCTGATTACTCAACAAATTCTTAACTCTTTCTTCCCAGCTCTCAAATAAGAAGTCTGTTATGAGACTTCTCTCTCTTGCCTGCAAAACGGTGCTGTCGGCAAAGCCAAAGCCATCCTTCAACAAGGCTGTGATGTAACTGAGATCCATGCACAGGAAAGGACTGCCTGAGGTGAAGTTTTCCAAGTTGTCACACACTGAAGGGGAGAGAGAGTGAAGAGTAAATTCAAGTTTGCAGCCAACTGAGAGATGTATAATTTTTTCTAAATATAGACTTAGAATAAGCAAAGCAAGATTCTCCACTTGGTTGATGCCTAGGAGTCTTGGAGGCTAAAACTGTGCATTGATAGCCTCTATAAGACCAAAGCTTAAGAACTGGCACATTTCTTTTGTTATATCTTATCTACTCAAATTTATATAGGCCCTAGTTTATGTGCTAAATTTCTATGACCTATTGTTCAGGCTTAATTCAACCACGTCCCTTATATATTATTAATGCTGAAGTCCAGGAGACACAGAAATACCAGTTAGCATTACTCTGAGCCACTGGTAAAATAATTTATTTATATTTTCAATGGACTCTCTTCAGGAAGCCGCTGTGGCTATTTCCCATAACAATATTTCAATTTACCTGGCTGGCGTGGCTCAGTGAACTAAGCTCTGGTCTGTGGACTGAAAGGTCGCCGATTCAGTTCCCAGTCAGGGCACATACCTGAGTTGCGGGCCAGGTCCCCAGTAGGGGGCATGTGAGAGTCAAGCACACTTTGATGTTTCTCTTCCTGTCTTTCTCCCTCCCTTCCCCTCTCTCTAAAAATAAATAAAACCTTAAAAAAAACAAAAAACAAAAAACAAAAAAAACCGAACAATATTTCAATTTAAAAAAAAAAAGGAATGTAGAAAAAAATAAGTTTTCACCATTTTCCTAAGGCCTCTTCTCCTATCTTTCTATGCAACTTAATGCTTTTAGCTCCTGACATAGACAGGAAACCAGCCTTCTGAGAGGCTTTCTACTGACTGTGGCACTTTAGGTCACATTAAGGTCATTGGACTTGGCAGGCACAGCCTCATAGTCTTGACTTCAAGGGCTCCCCACTGACATTTACCTTCCTTCGCTTTCCTTTCAAAATCTTCAACTTTTAAAACACCCCCCTTTTCATAATCTGCAATGAAACAGAAGAATAGCTGATGTCAAAAAGTGTGTCGAGGAAACATAAAGAAATTAATCCTAGTGATATTTGTAATAAAGAAAAATAGGAAATAAATTTCCAGCATTATAGAATGGGATAAACATGATATTCATACAATATAATCTATGCAGTTTACTTATTTATTTACACTCTATTTTGTTATATATATTTAACCACAATAAAAAATTTGACCCATTAAAAAACCACATTAGAAAATAAAAAATTAATTCATATCTCAGGCCATGACAGATCACAGACATACATTTTCACAGCTCAACAAAAGCATTACTATTGCAAAAAAAAAATAAATAAATAATGTTATAAGGGTGGAGGAGGAAACTTTGGGGTTATATATATGGTTTAAAATATCAAATTTAGTAATGGTTTCATGGGTGTGTACATATGTCAAAACTTAGCAAACTGTACACTTTAAATATGTACATTTTTATGCTAAATGAAGTAAGTCAGAGAAATACAAATACTATATGAATTTACTTGTATGTGGAATCTAAAAAACAAAACAAAAATAGAAAGAGACCTACAGATATAAGAAATAAATTGATGATTACCAGAGAGAAGGAGATGGAAGGATGGGCAAAAAAGGTACAGGGGAATAGAGGCACAAACTTCCAGTTATAAAATAAATGGGTCTAAGAATATATGTACAACTTAGGGAATATAATCAATATTTTTAGAACTTTGTACAATGACAGATGGTTATTAGACTCATTGTGGAGAACACTTTGTAAGGTATATAATGTTGAATTACTATTTTGTACACCTGAAACTAATACAATATTGCATGTCAACTATACTTTAATAAAAAATAAAGTATGTGCATTTTATTTTATATCAATTATACCTCAATAAAAAAAAGTAAGGAAAAAAAGATATAAACTTTTAGGCCATTTTCTATCTCTGAAATTCAGATTTCCAATCATATGCACCCTTCCATTTGAGTAACCAGTGTCACTCAACACCCAGGACTGAATGATGATCACCTCTAATGAAGCATTTCAGATACTCCCTCTCCCTTTCCCCATAGATCTTTGCCCAGTGTCCTCCCTGAACTGACATCTAGAATGAACTTACCAATCATGTGTGTGTCAACAGCTCGATCATAATAGTAAGAGAAAGCGTAGAAGGAGCTTCTCTGGATCTCATCTGGCTGGTGAAGTTTTCCTTGGACCACCCTTAGCACTTCAGAGTAACAGGGCTCAAAGCCCACCACCCCTGCCAGGGCAAAGGTGCACAGGGACACAGTGAGAAAAATAATAGGGGAAGAGACTCCTCTCTGAAGCAAGCTACTAGAGCCAGTGAAGAAAGCACAGGAGATCAAGGAAAGCTGAGGCTGAGACTCAGGACAAAGGGCTTCTAAACAAAGTCTAGCAAACTCCCACGCCCTCACTGCTCTGGAGGAAAGGGACCCGCTTCTCTGTGGCGGCTCCCCTCCCTAATCGGTGTTTACCAAAAAGGGCCACCACAATCGACCTCAAGCTGCTGCTTCACATTATGTTTTATGGTACTTATGAGAAGTAGCTAGAAAGTTTGCCTGCTTCCTCTACTAGAAAAATCCAGTTTCTTTCCTTAATTTTAAGGTCTGTTCCTTTTATAATACTTAAGTGAATTATTCTTCCTATCATCTCAATTTTAAGTTTTACCATAATTTAAATAGTTAAACATTTACTGGTAACCAAACCTGAAAGTTTCACCCTGCCAAGAATGCAGGGTCTAATGCATTAGGCCCAGGGTAAGAATGGATCCACAACACCCGGCCAAGGAAAGAGCAGGATACAGAGTGACAGCTGTCTTGTTCTCTGTCACTTCATATTATTTCTTGGAGGCATACCAAGATCTATTTGTAATGAGACCCTGCAATCTGACAAGTTTCTCTTGAGCTCTGGAAAGTTTCCCATGGAACTTTTCCAGATTTCAACTGTAAAAATAACCTCAACCAGTGAAAAAACATCACTTGCCTTCTTGGTTGCCACCATACTGGTATTTCACGCCCCCAAAAATCCAGTCGGCTTCTAACCATCTTGGTAAACAGGCACTTCGAAAAGTGTGTCCCTCAGTCCCTGAAAAGTAAACAGACCACAGAGAGGCAAGGATGTGAGAGAGGGAGGCAAACAAGAAGCCAGTAAGGTTGAAAAGTCACCAACGTGGCTTGGCCTTAAAATCATATGAAATTAGTTCCATGACTATATCCTATGACAAGAATTCTTAACATGGTTCATAGATGGGCATTGTGAGGCTGACGCAGCCCTGAAACTAGGAGCAAATTTTTGTGCATATGAGCATGTGCTGGAGGGGTCCATGGCTTTCATCGCATCCCCCAAAATCCAAAACCTACAACGGAATAAATTCCCTCCTTTCTAAAAAAGAAGGGGGGGAATGCTGTTCTAACTTTCTCATGGTTATTGTGAGGCTTAAATGAAATACATTTGAAGATATTTAATAAACTCAGAAATGCTATACAATTATCATCACAGTAATAGTTTACTGTGAGCCAGGCACCATTCAAAGTGCATTAAATGAAAAATCTTACTTAAGGTGAGGAAAAGGGGATAGCTAACTTGCCCCAAATCACAAAACTGAAACTGAATCCAGTTCTGCCTGACCTCAAAAGCTGAGCTCTAAACCCCTCTACCACCTGTGAAGAGATGAATGGAGTTGCTCAGCTATTCCGCTTGCAAGTGGACTTTGCTGCATCTTGCCAAGGGCTTGAGCAAACTCCTGCCCAATGCACTCTTTGAGCCTTGAATTTCTGCAGGTTCTTCAGCCTCCTGGCCATGGGCTGTTGTTCCCCTATGCAAATAAACCTCATTCTAGAAATGTCTAATAATGTATACCAAAACATCTGAACTCATAAAGGAGACAAGAAATTTGCTATTATTATGCCCATTGTACAACATGCACTTCCTAATTTGGCATAACCCGATCCTCCCTAGAACCATTGCCAAGGAAGGGAAAAGGTGAGCTGAGTACTGGTTTCACTTTCACCATACCCCAACCGGCACAGGCACCCACACGAACCTTGCGCTTCCAGGGCTCCCAGAGTTGCCAGTCTCGCAGCTTTCAATCCAAATCCCAAGTAACTGTAAAATACAGGATTGACTAATTCCATGGTGGTCCTGAAGGTCTCCAGCCTACAGCCACCTCTATCAAAAGTAATATGGTTTCTCTGTCTCCCGTTAGAGGGAGGAAAACCTTGTTCTCTGCGACCTATTCATCTAGTGTAGACAGTAAGTGGTAATTTCTGCACAGTTTAGATTAAGGTCATGTAGTAAGAACTTTTCATAGCTATGATGTAAAGGCCAGAGACAGTCCTGACTGGCCATGGTTCAGTGGGTTGGGCATTGTACCACAAATCAAAAGGTCATGGGTTCGATTTCTGATCAGGGTTGCAGGCCAGGTCCGCAATTGGGGCATGTGCGAGAGGTAACTGATGGATGTTTCCCTCCTTTTCTCCCTCCATTCCTCTCTCTCTAAAAATAAATAAATAAAATCTTTAAAAGCCAGAGATAGTGAAGGGTCCCCAGAAGAGCTCTAATTACCTTACCTCCCAGCCTCACTGTGATCAAATTCTAGACTGGATTTTGAACATCTGAAGACAAGTTCAAAAAAGTTGTCACAGAGTTTTGGCTGAACTTTTTCTAAGTGTCCTCTTTATAGAGAAAAGTTTTGCTCTTTAAGTCATATATTTGGAGGTCAGGAAAGGAGAAATCCTTGAGTCCCTTGGCATTTAGCAAGAGGTTTGGGTTTCAGGTAATAGGTTTTGGGGACTGGCAAAGACTATGTAAGGCTTGTCATGTGCAATAATAGACATGAAAATGCTTTAAAAAGTTAGGAGACTCATATTACATGAAATATTATTCCTCCCTGTCCCCCTCCTCACCTATGTGTATACAGCTTGTAAGTTCTGTTAAACATCTCAAAGGAAGTGAGGTAGTCCCTAGGAGTTTGTTCAAGGGTTTTCTGCAAATCAGAAAAGCAAGAAGACTATTTAGGATCTGTGATTGTCTAAGGATGTTATCACCACCATCCCTGTCCCTCCCCGAAAACACCAGAGACAAAGGAGACAGATTAAACTGCTAATCTCATACGGTTTGAGAAATCTGAGGGACTCTGAACAGTGGCAAAGAGAAGTTCACTCAGTTATTAACTGACATTACTCAGCCTATTTGTGATGCAGCTGCTGTTTAAAAATAGAGCACCATTTTCTTAGCATCATGATATGCCTGCCAAGTGAGTTGCTAACCAAACCTTCATGTTAATGACTCACCTGAAACTGGGGTAGGAACGTGATTTGGGTGGAGGCCCCCCCTAGGTCCAGGGTCCCTACAGTCTCCTGGCTGTGACCACGCAGCTGACCTGTGAAGGAGAGCCAGTTTGAACATCTTCTGCTTCCTGGACAGCTTTTTATGCCTCTGCCTGCAGTCTCCCTCCTGCTCTGGAGGAGCTTCATCAACACTCCACTGCTCTCTGCCCCCGTGACTGCAGGTGAAAGTTAACCTTGAAGGGCTCTTGCTGCAGCTGAGGCCTTGAAGGCAGGTTATAAACACTAACTTCCTATCTTTCCTTTCGTCTTTTTCACAAAAAAACAATACAGGAAAAAAGAAAGGTAACTTGGCTCTCTGGCCATGTGTGACACCTAGCCAAGAGCTTAAGATAAACTTGAGAATGTATTACCTGTTAGAAAATTCACAGTAATCCAAGCTAAGATGCCTAAAAAAGAGAGAGACAAGGATTACATCCCAGAGCATTTCCCCCCTCTTCCCTGGCCCCATCTTTGTTCTTTTTCTCTCTAAATTTCATGTATAAAGCATACACTTCCCTTCTCCCCATCCTTCCATTTCCTGCTATTTCATTCCTCTAGGCTTATTTGTTTCTCCTTAGTTTCTTTTTCTTCAGCACCGCCACCCCTGTTCCCAGATCCTTTAATCAGATCTTTTATTAACCCTGGCCCTCTCCCCCTAGAACATATATCAACACCTCTCTACCTTCATAGGATCCGTCCATGATGCTAACACTGTCATTTGGTACCAGGAAAGGCGACTTCCTGAAGATCTCTTTTACCTACAGGAAAAAAGGGAAAAAAATCTGAATTCCCTAAGGCAATAAAAATAATTTCCATATTTTGGCTATGTCTTAAAAAGGCTTAGAAAACTACTCTCTTCATTTTCCCTAAATAAAATCTTAGTAGAACTCATTTCTTTTCCCTAAAGAAACTAGAGAAGGAACTATGTAAGCTATTATTGGTTTCTTGTAAAAACAAAATACAGGGATTCCCTTGACTTTAAAATAAATCACAATCAAACCATCTATATTTATAGGTGAACTGGACCTAGGAAAGGGCATACATTTGACCCTACCAGCTCAAAGCAGGATCCTGCAATTTTTAAAAAAACATCTGATTAATTCAACCTGGATAATTCTAGGAGGACCCCTTCTCATTGCATTTCTTAGATGAGCAGATAAACTCAGAGAGAAGAGAAGAGTTAGGCCTGAGTGGCTCCTGCGGCTACAGGAGAGTTTCTGCTGCTCTTCTACCAAATTCTACAGTCTTTTTTCTTCCTGGTAAAGGAGCTCATGTCCCCAGGCTGAGGTCCTCTGCTGTCAGCCCCTGTCAAATCCTGGCATATGGCTGGGGCCTCAAAAAAGTTTAGACAGATCCCAGATTTAGATTTATTTATCCTATTTTAGAACCTGAAAAAGAAGATGCTGCACAAACGCTCTTGACTCTCCATTATTATAGGTCAATGACAAGGGTGTTATGTCTTATTTTTATATGATTATCATGTTGGGCAAGGGGAAATTTCCAGGAATATGAAAAATTCTAATCTGTTGGCTGTTTTCATTTCTAACAGGACAAAACACTTCATGCAGTGACCTCTGGGCCCTGTTTCAACTAGGGCCAATTAATACATTGCATACCGCATAGAAATCTCTAAGACATACGCCAGGGTCGGATGACCAAAATACAATGTAACTGCAATGCTTTATGGGTTCGTGCAATCATATAGTTTTTTGTAGATTGACCTGCATGGTTTCCACCCATGAGATCGCTTCATTCGATGTGGACAAGACAGTGTGTTGACATCTAAAGTCCATAACAGATGGCTCGTGAAAAACGAGAAAACTCGTGAGCGGTCCTTAACAGATGGCATGTGAAACACGCGAAACCCCATGAGCGGTACGCAATGTGTTAAGTGATTCATAAACAAGCATTTAAGATGACAGATAAGCAAACAGGAATAAACACAGAGTTTCTGCTCTTGCCCTTTCTACTTCATGCCTTTGACCACAGTTTATTCTCAACACAGTAGCCAGAGTGATTCTTTAAAAACAGACATGAGATCATGTCTCTCCTTAGCTCAAAACCCTCCAATGGCTTCTTAGAGAAAAAGCTAGAGTTCTTACATTGGCCTCTGATGTCCTACATGATAAACCCCTCCCACCTCTCTGACCTCATCTCCTACTTCCCTTTCATCACGCACTCTCCTCCAGCCATGTTAACAGGGATGCTGTTCCTTGAACATACCAAGAACATTCCTGCTTTAGGCGTTGGCATCTGTTTCTTTAGCCTGGAATATTCTACTCACAAATGTTTTACATAGCTTGTTTCTTCATTCCCTTCAGATCTCTGATCAAAGGCATCTTATGAATGAGGTCTTCCCTGACCACCCTATTTAAAATAGCATCTCCCCCACACTACCACTAGCATTCCCTATCTGCCTTACCGTACTGTTATTTTCCTAAAGAACATGACATGTTTTGTATTGACTTTAGTTATTTTATCTTGGGAACTAGAATGTTAGTTCCATGACAGTGTCATTTTTGTTCCCTGCTCTATGTCCCCAGTAACTTCACTAGTGCCCAGTACATAGTGAAGCACTCACACGATGAATAAATGAATGAATAAATGAATGAATGAGGAATTGAGATCCCGATTCTCACGAAGACATTCCGAGACTTAAGTCCCCTGTGTGGCAAAGAAGAATGGATTTATATGGCTGAATTAACACACTTATAGTACAGAATCCTTTTTTTGCTGTGATTTTTTTGTTATAATGGGACTCTGCATATATTCTTCACAATATTAAATCTTATTAATTGTATTAACTTACATGTTTTTGCATGATTAAAATGCACAATGTTAAAAATACTGAGTTTTAAAAAACTGTCTTTTTTTTTGGTACTTAGTTTTGACCTGAATGAGAAATAAAATAGATTATCTTTAAAAATGTTTCATACTTCACAATTCCATGATTCTTCTCAATCCTTTATACTGAGAGAAAAAAAGTTAAAATACAAAAAAGGGAATATAAACTGTATTATTCCATTTACATGAAATGTAAAAATAAGCAAAACTAATCTATAATGATATATAGCAGATCAGTGGTTGCCTGGTTTTACAGGAGGGGAAACTGACTACAGAGGGGCCCAAGGAAATGTCTGAATTTGTCAACACTCGTTTAACTGCACATATAAATGGGCACATTTAATTGTAAGATATTCCTCATTAAAGTTGATCAAAAACAACTTCTATGATCCTGCTGTAACAAGTTAGGAGAATTAAGAACGTCAGGAGCAGGAAGTGCTTTAAATCTTTTAGGAGAAGCTCTATCAATTCAAGAGTATTATTTAAAAATGTAAATAACTGGCTACAAAAGAGCCCAAGGTCACCACAATGCTTTAGTGATGGTGGAATACTAGCATTAATGGTAACACTCCAGAGGGCTTTAAACCCATAAAGGAAATATTTCTACAAGGGAAAAGAATTACCCGCGATGCAGAAGATTTCAAGAATTACCTCAGAGAGCAGAGCCTGGGCTTTCTGTTCCGGCAATAGGCGCAGTCCTGCTGTTGCCTTCAAGACCACTGGGGTCCTTTGCCAGTGACTTCGAGGGATTGAGTCTTTGGCCACCTCTAAGAGTCCTCGAACAGTCTCAGCACCCTTCAAAAAGAGATGAACCGCTCATCCAGTGAACAGTCCACAGAGTGGCACTGCACGTTCCCCCCTCTTGCTCTGGGGGAGGAACAGGAGTGAGGGAGCAGAGGGCTACCTCTCCGACCTAGAGAAGTGGGCTTCTTTGAAGGAGAATCCATTTCATTTTGGTTAAGTAATAATGAAGAGGGTTGTTTTTTTTTTAAGTGTGGTCATTTTGATTGTTATTTTGTGTCTCATAAATCAGCTTCAGGCCAGAAAGTTGAGTATCGTGAAGGAAAGGCAGGCTTGGGAGTCAGAAAACTTGCCTGCTAGCTCTGTGGCCTAGCATGGGGGCTTCCTGAGGTTTGGCTTCCTCAGCTGTGAAACAGGAGATATGCCTCATACCGCTACAAACTGTTGTGTACATTAGATGCGGCAGACTGTGTGGAGTTTCCACACAAATGCTAGCAATAGCTGTTATTATGCTATACTTTTTGATTTCCGTAAGGATAGAATATGTCAGGTTCATTTTTGCATCACCAGCACCTGAGTAAATGCTCAATTTATGATTAGTTCAAAACTATTATTTTAAATCAACTGTTTCCCTGAGTAAACACTTATCCTGACAACATGCTGTCTCTTAATCACTATAATTAATAATAACAACCATAACACAACCTTCTTTTCTAAATGTCAAATCAGTTTCTGATAATACAACTGCTTTCAAGAGCACCTAGTTTTCTAGCACATTTGCCATTTCAAAACAGTGAGCTGAGAAAAAAAAAATCCTCTCAGTTCTTTAAGTTCAAGCCATTTTTAACACTGGGTTTTCCTTTGGTTAATGAACAATACCTCATATCAGCTACTAAAGTTCAACATTCTGCCTTATTCTATTTTAATGCAGCCTCTGATACATTGAGTGTATATGTTGTGGGTGCTCCAATGTGAAACACAATCACAACAAAACTCTCCATTCATCCTCTATTACCAAAAATTTTTCCCTCACGTGTTCTTGCCTAATTTCTAGAGTATAAGAATGGTTCTGTCGTATATCAAGACATCTTCATTCCCTCAACTGTCATGTTTATACTTCATACCCTAGAGAACTTTGTGTCTGCCTCCTGCATCTACATTAATGAATGCAGCTGATGGCTTCAGCTCAAAATGTTAAACAGTAAATGCAAAGGAAGCAATCTCTTAAAAGGCGGCATCATCCCTGCATGGCCAGAATCTATTCTAGCCTCCTTCCACCAAAGCCCTAACGAGAGCAGGGTATACAGTTAGAAAACTGATCTCACACCTAACCTCAGTATCAGTAGTGAACAGCATGAGATATTTAACAACAGTGGTGTGATGAAGTTATCAAGGCATTGTGAATCTAAACATCTCATTGTAATTGTAAAAAAACTTACCTGCTTAGGTTGATCTACAAAAGCAGAAAGTCCTGGCTTCACAGAATCAAAAATTTCCCCTTCCAGAAGTGGAAGCTGTCCTATTTTGTGCATAGATTAAAACAGAACAGAAATGGTTGATTACCAAAAGTTAGACTGCTTCTGACACTGCATTCTGTCATACAACCTACCAGGATTAACCTGCTATTCCCCGAGTTATTCCAGGTAATCCCGGCTGTGAGGAATGGTTTGCACGAGTATTGAGTAGGAGGACAGAGGATGACAATCTTTGAGCATCCTCTGTCATTTCTCTGGTGGACACTTAGTTCTTACGTCTTTCCCTAGGCTCTATATATAACCTGAAGATAGAATTCTGAAAATTCAGAAAAAAAATAATCTTCAGGGTCCCTTCCTCCCCTTCTCCAAGGATGGTAGTGATCCTTCTCCCAAGACTACTCCAAATATTCTCAATATTCTGCATCCTGGAGTACCAATCACCTTTAGAGAAAAGGAAAGACAAATTACAGATATACTTCTTGGACACTTTGGTTTCAAACTACAGGCAACCCAGATGTCTCTTAATTTCACACTGAGTTAAACCATATGTACTCAATTATAGGCCAAAATGTATTCTGAAGAAAGATGGTGAGTAGATGTAAGATTCTTAATTCACATCACACACCCTCAGAATATTTGTTACTGGGAGGAGATGCTAGCGTATGGACTCATTGATTCTGGTGAGGGTACCAGTTGCACTTACCTGGTATTTTCTGCACAAAGGTGTAAACATGAATTCGTGTTCCAGTGCTCCCTGCATCAAACATAATTCCATACAAGGTACTGGCACTAACATTGATGGGGCACATGGAAGACAGGAAGACACCTTCAAACCATGTCTGCTGGTCTCTGTGGAAGACAGTACTGCAAACACAGGATGCCACCAACATGAAAAAGGCTGCCCCCCAGGAAGTGGCCATTCTCGTCCCAAGATGTGGTGAGTCTAGGCTTTTGTTACAGAAGCAGTGCTGCTCAAACACCTGTAGTGGCTTATAGGACAAAGAAACACAAGGTTAGATCAACTTGCCTTCTTGTTTACACCTATAAAAGAATAAACACCCATCATAGAAATCCCACCCCTTTCTCTAAGGTGCTCCTTCTTCTCTATTTCTGACAACCAGCACAACAAGTTAGACCAGGGTGATATAGGCTTTCAATACTTTTCCTGAATGCTATTTGGTAGCAAAAGGAAATTGGGATTTAAAATATATTTTCCCATGCTCTGTTTTAGTAAAAAAAAAAAAAGATTTCATTTATTTATTTCTTGAAAGAGGAGAAGGGAGGGAGAAAGAGAGGCAGAGAAATATGGATGTGAGAAACACTGATCAGTGCATGCCCCCAACCAGGGAGCCTGGCCTGCAATCCAGGCATGTGGACCACCTCTCTGCCCCACCTACCAGTCTGGATGGATGTGGTTCCTTTAATCCTGTAGTTGCCAGACTCCCATTCAGTTTGATTTCTGACAGTTCCTGAGTGATGTCTAGTCTATATTTTAGATGTGCTTTTGATGCAGTTATGCAAGGCAGTGAGCTTTGTTTACTCATGCTGCACTCTTGACCAGAGTCAAGGTTAGTTCTCTTCTTACCTTTGGGACACATTTCTTTGTCTCATTTTGGCCACTTCCCTGTGTTTGTTCCTATGTATTACATTGAGTTGCTTCATCTCCCAGGCTTGTGCAAGTAGCCTTACATAGTGGGTGTTCTGTAGGGTCTAGTGGCACAGCCTCCCCAGTCACCATGTATGGATTGTGTACACCCTCCTGTTGTAGTTGAGTCTTGATTGCTGTTGACATGTCAATGGGAAGGATTTACTCCCCCAGGGCTGATTGGCTTCAAGAGCTGGCTGTGACCACCAGCCATCATGGAGGACCAGCTGTGTGGGGGCCTACCCCCCAGAGTAAGACTTATTTTGGCAGGGCTCTGGTGCCTGCTGAGTCCACCCTGGGAGTGTATCACTTGTGGAGGTGGTCGGGTGGCACTTCAACATGGTCTGGAGTTGTCTACTGGGTATGCTGGCTCTGAGTCATCCCGGGAGGTATAGGCCAAGATCAGTCACTGCCTGTGTTTTGCATGGGCCACCCAACATGAGCTACAAAACAAGGTGGAAATGGCTGCTACTTGTGCTGAGTTTGGATGTGCCCGCAATGAAGCCAAGCTGAGAACCAAAGCCACCTGCTGATAGTGTCAGGTCTGGGGCTTCCTACCAAGAGGCACGGGCACACTGAGGCCAGATGCTGCTTGTTGGAGAGGTTTTAGGAAAATCTGAAGCATGAACCAAGACAGGCCATTTGCATGGAAACATCCTGGGTGGGCCCACAAGTTGGGGGGAGCGTCAGGGAATTGCCAGGGTGGGGCAAACAGTATGAGCCAGGTTGATGGAAAGTCAGGTATGTTATGAAGCTGCCAGCTCTTTGGGAGCAGGGAGTCTCAGAAAAGGAATAATGAATGGCTTCTGCCAGAACTTTTGTCTAGCAGAAAGCTGTCCCCCCAGCTCTTGCCATGATGCCAGACTGTTCAGTTCCTCCCTGTAAGTTTTTGGTTCCTTTCAAGCTGCTGTCCCAGTGCTGGAGCTCAGAGGGAGTAAGTCCGAGTAAGTTTGAGCATGGGCCCTTTAAGAGAAATTGCCTGGGACTCCAAAGTCCTGCATCTCACTCAGCCAGAATCCCCACTGGTTTTTATAGCCAGAAGCTATGGGAACTTCTCTTCCCAGCACTGGAACCCTGGGCTGGAGGGCCTGGTATGGGGCTGGGACCCATCACTCCTAGCGGGGTCGGGGGGCGCAGGTCCTCTGCAGCTGAGATGTCCTATTTTAATCCATCACACATGAGCGTGGAACCAACCCACTCTCCATCTCGCCCCTCCTACCAGTCTCAATGTAGCTTCTTTTTTAAATCCCTAGTTTTAGGACTTCCCTCCAGTTAGATTTTAGGCAGTTCTAAATGATGGTTGTTCTGTAGTTTGGTTGTAATTTTGATGCGACAAAACAGTTTTCTTGGGGTCTTCTGATCCAGCTTTCATCCCTGGACTTCATCTTGTGTAAAACATAGTTACTAGTTACACAAGATCTAATTCCAAAGTCCCCATTTCTCAGCCTCCTTATCTCTAACAAAATACTCTGTGTATTTGGAATACTGATTGAGGATATTCAATCATTTGTAACTTTGTTTAATCAAAATGCATCACTCCCCACAGGTGACATATTACATAAATAAAAACGAATTGCACTTGGAATTTAAAACTATTTAAAATAGAACTGTTCTGAGGTACTACAAAGGCAGAGTTAGAATTATCAGTTTGAACGCTATTTGAGGCTGAACTTCTGTATGGAAGTTAAGAATGAGAGCTATTGATTAGAAAAGAAAATTTTTAGAATCCTACACAAAGATAACTTCATCCCAGGAAATCAACCACTGAAACCAGGGTGGCTGCCTGGCCAGATTTATACTCACATTTCAAATTACCCCCTCTGGCTGATTCTTCTTTTACAACAAATAGGCTGGTCATGTAGATCAATCTAAATATAACTGAAAACAAAAAAAAACCTTTAAGATTCTCTGAGCATCAACACATAACCTGCTACTGTATTTATGCTAACTCTCATCTCATAGTGGGTTAGAAAGATCCTTGCCTTCTTCAGAGCTCAAACTATATTCAACATTTGGTTCCTTTTCTCCCTCAAGAAGTGTACTCTCCAGTCATCAACCTACCTACTTCTCTGTGACTGATGCCACAGCAGCTTCTTCAAGGCTCATTCATGTTTTGTCTATAATTGCAGTTTCTGAAAAAACCTCTCCAGATTCTATTTCCATTAAGCAAACATTTGTTTTTCTTCCAAAAAAGATTTCAAAGGGGAAAAAAATGCATTCTAGGTATCCATTTTCATGGCGTGGAAACTGCAGTCATTCCAAGTTTTCAGTGTAAAACTGAACAGATTTTAAAGAAAGCAAAGGCTGAACACATAAAATGCTCCTTTTGCTCTCAACCCCCACCTTCTAACACCACTTCTAATCTCATTTTTCTTTAAGATTAGCTACTTTAAGAATAGTATTCGGCTTACAATTTAGAATTATAGAATGGCATACTGTTTACATGACACCAGCCTGCACAGCTTGCTCATTCACTTTGTTAGTCTTTGCTCAAATGTCACTTGATTCTCAGTGAAACCTTCCTTGTTCAATCCTATTTAAAACAGCAACCTACCTAGTCACATACACATCTTCTACCTTCTTTCCCTGTTATATTTCTCCATAGCACTTCTCACTTTCTAATGCATTATATAATTTATTAATTTTTTTTCATACTCTGCTCTCTAACCCCCACCCCTTTCCCAATGTGAGCTATACATGAGCAGGAATTTTTCACTGATGTGTTCCTGGTGCTGGAACAGAGCCAGCATATAGTAGATGTTGAATAAATACTCTGAAAGAATGAATAGTGATCCAATAGCTCAAGTACTGAATCTCACCCATTTAACAAGAATATAATAGCTGACTTCTTTCCAAAAGATTACCTACCCATTGGAAGATCAATATTCCAAAACTCCAAGGAAAGATTGTTTCTCCAAGTGTGTCAATTATATAAAAAGGTTTATATGCTACTTAATGTATATAGTCAGATTTACTTTGTATAAACTGTAGAGCATACATCAGTATATTTAAACCCATTACTTTCTGAATTGTTCTTTTCAATATTTTTTTGCTTTCTGTCTCCTATTCACCCCCGAGAAGCCCCATCTTCAATTCTTTTCATTGAGACTTTGGTGCCAGCCAGCGTTTGTCACTATGCACATCTCCTTCTTTTAAAGTGTATCTTTATCTCTATAGAAAACACTGTTCCTCCCTACTCAACCTCCCCAGAGCTTCACATTCTAGATTCCCACCTACCTTGTCACCCAGAGCCTGAGAGACCACAATGCCAAAGGATCTGTACCCCATCTAGATGCTCACCTGCTTGAGCCTGTTCCCTGTGAATCCTTGCTTTCACCACTGGTTGCCTTTTGCTCTTTGCTCCTCTTTCAGACGTTCTGAGTCAAGCTCATGAACAACATTCACCTTTGTGCTAGTTTGCAACTAGCTGTGTGGCTTTTTGCTAACTCACTCCTTTCTTTATCCTTCACTCCTCCCTTATACACCTTTTCTCTGGGTACACAATAGTCTGGTTCATCTATTTTTATGGTAGTTAAGTGCTAACCAGTAGATTATTGCTTATAGGGCAGAAGTTGCTCAGAAACTGAATTCTGTATTGTTTTTACACAGGATATTAATTACCTACTAGTTAATGTTTTACAATATTATTTAATAATGTTATGTTTACAACCACAAATATGTAGCTATGTAATAATGTTATTAATTCCCCACTAATTCATGTTTTTACAACATTATCCCACTGTACTCCTCGATAGCTTCCATCCTTGAAATTAGTTTAGAAAGCTGGGCATTGAATTGTCTAATTAATAAGCATTTACTGAGTATCTAATATAATAGACACTGTACTCAGCTCTAGATACAAAAGAAGAATCAGATACAGGCCCATTTATTGGGGAGACTTCAGCTTACAGAAGAAACAGGCAAGTAAACTAACAGCTATAATGTGTTGTGATAAGTTCTCTGACAGAAACAGGTACAGAGTGTGACAGAAATGGACATATGGGGCAAGTAACTCATCTCAGAAGGAGAAGGATGGAGGTGGGAAGGAAGTGGTAGGTTTCTTAAGAGATAACAGGCCTAAGCTGAGTTCTGAAGCAGAGGCAGAAATTAACCTGGTGAAGTGACACAAGAAGAATTCTGAGAACTTAAGTATTAAAAGAGTTCAGTATAGCTAGAATATAAAGGTGTACCAGAATAAAGAGGGTGGGTTGACAAAGGATAGTTCTGGAGGCAGTGAAACAGATTTCAAAATGAGTGGACTTATTTTTCTTGTATGTTCAATTTCATGGTGACACCTGTTATTTATTTCTATTTCCTCCCTAAGCAAGTATCACTCTTCATTGACTTAAATAAAATGACACAGTATTTCCCAACAGTGGAAAATAATGAGAAGGAAAAGGTGACTAGAAATGTCTACCTAAAACTCTGAAGACAGTGAAATGTGCAAGTACCCCCTGCCAATCCTTCTAGCTCCACAGCAAAATTGGCTTTAACAAAGTTAAAAATTAAACACAAAGTTTAAAATGTAACTAGGATGAAATTTTTAAACAATAAACTGAACTATGGGAATGGATTACTCAAATCACCCAGAGCATTAGTTAGCCATGCAAAGCCAAAACCAAGGTAGGTCTAATAAGGAAAGTCTGGGACAGATTTCAGCACAGTGAGCTATGCGTCATTTTGGAGATATTACTTGGAACCTACAAACCCTACACCAATGGCCAGAGCCCTGGAACATCTTGCTATGTATCTGAAGGGTGTCTAAGGTGAAGGTACATGATATCTTTTACATTTATCAAGCCAAGTTCTGAACCTGGAACATGTTAGACATCAGTACATGTGTCCTGAATGGGCTTGGTACAATTGGACTAATGGTATCTGCAGGAGCTTTGGGACAGTGAGTACTCCTCTTCCCAGTGTCTTTCTATGGCTATGTATCACATCCTCAAATCCCATTACCCTCCAGACCCGCCCACGGATAGGAGTGCTCTTCTATTCCAGGAAGCCTATTTATTTACATAGTAATTAATTCACTTAGCCATTCCAAAACTTATCAGTTGCTTAATGCTACTCACCAGCAGAGCACATAATGATGAATCATCTCAGACCTGCCCTTTAAGAGACTAAACAGGAGGGAAAAAATACGTGTTGACTAACTACCTCTGTAAAGTTAAAATGTGACAAGTAGCAACTACCATGTTCTGAGACTTGGAAGCAGGGAGAGATTACTTCCAGCTGGGATGATCATAGAAGGCTTTATAAAAGAGGTGGTATTTGAGGAGGACCCTAAGGAGAATTAGGATGGCAGAGGAGTACTTTTCAGTAGAAAGAATCAATGTGGCTCTGGCTGGTGTGGCTCAGTGGTTTGGGGGCCGGCCTGTGAACCAAGAGGTCACCAGTTTGACTCTGTTAGGGCACATGCCTAGGTTGCTGGCCAGGTCCCCAGGTGGGGATGTGCAAAAGTCAGCCAATAGATACCTCTCTCACACATTGATGTTTCTCTCTCTCTCTAAAAATAAATTAAAACAACAACAATAATATGAATCAAGACATGGATTTAAAGAAAGGGGTTGGGGGGCCCTGGGGAATAGTGATTAGATCACTCTAACTACAGTAGAAAAGAAAGTTGGAAAAGTCAGTGCCCCTAACTAGTCAGGTACTGCATGTTTTAAAAATTCTTGCAGCACACCACTGTGACTTGAGGCACGTGTTGAAAATCACTGGATTAATGAATACCTAATCCAGACATGATGTTTTAGGATAAACTATAATTTTATTTCTCTGAATCTATTAGTTCTACAGTTAAATTGAAGTCCTTTAACTACTTTCAAATTGTTAAATTTGTTATAAACTTTCAAAAAAATCTAAAGGATACTAAACACTGTTTACATTGTCCAAATGCTTTTCTATTCATTAAACCAATAAATATTTTAGAATGCTGTATATTAGTTATCTACTGCTACACAACAAGTAACCCCAAAACTTAGTGCTTAAGGCAATAAACATTTATTATGTCACAATTTCTTGTAGTTCCAGAATTTGGGAGTGGCTTTATTCGACCATTCTGGCTCAGGGTCTCTTAAGATATTGCAGTCATCTGAAGGCTTCACAGAGGCTGAGGACCCATCTCCAAGATGGCTCACTCAATGGTTGGCAAGCTAATGGCTGGATGTTGAAAGGAAGCCTCAGATGCTTCTCATGCAAACTCTCCATAGGGCCCTGAATGTTTTCACAACAGGGTGGCTGGCTTCCTCCAGAGTAGACAATGCAAGAGAGCAAGGCAGGAGGAGCAATTTTTTTAAAGGCTTGGCCTTTTTATACATATCCCCCTCATATTCCATCAGTCATACAGACCAACCCTGGTGAAGTATGTGAGGGGAATACACCAGCATATGAATATTGGGAGGTGGTGATCATTGGGGACTATGTTGGAGACTGGGCTACCCTAAGTTATATACAGTATTTGTTTATTTTGTGTTCAGTGTTCTTTGCAGTTTACATATGTGCTATTAACACAACTTACAAAATTCTTGTTTTAGAAAGTATGTGTTATTGCAAAGATAGTAACTCTTAAAAATTAAAAATATGGAATTTTAACTTCTCTGAAGATATAATGTCCCACCACTTGAAGAAGACTTCCATTTTTTCTGTTATAGTCTCAAAGTTTTACTTAATGGAAAGAATTAAAATCAGAAAAACTACAATTCATGCAATGTCCTACTTGTTCCTATGGGTGAAAATAAATTTAAATACTTCAAGTGAAAGTCAAATATATTTAGGAAAGAGTAGGAATATGAGTCATTATAGGAATAATAAACCTAACAGTGAAATTAAATAGTAAAGTAAGATATATAGTGAAAATACTTATATTAACAGAATAACAACTTCATGCTACAAAACATACAGAAAAAAAGCTTCCAATCACACAATGGTAGCATTAATAGTTAGGTACTGAAGAGTTATATGGTAGAAAGAGACAAGACTGACAACTGGCACAGATATGAAAACCACCGAAAAATTTTATAACAAACATTTTCAAATATCAACTAAATAAAAGAGGTTTATTAAAAATCAGCTTTTATTAGATCATTGCCAAGAAGCTGTACTGAGACCTATGACCATGGAAACTATAAGAGGAGAGACTGAACAAGAAGAATTTCCCAACATGAGTTGTCTCATGCTGGTGGGAAGAGAACTCTTACCCCAAGGGCTCAGCCCAAATCTAATTCACAGATTAGAAGGCTGGATGACATCTTTTAAGGTCCCTCCAACCCTTAGATTAAAAACTGTAACTCCCAATAAAGGGATTAGTATTAATGTACTGGTAGTTACCAACAAATATAAAATTGTTACCTATAAACAGATCACTTATTCCTGTACTTTATCACATTTTAATCAAAACATCATTAGGTGAGTGTCAAAAAGGCCCATTCTGCACATTAAACCACTTGGGTGTTATATCAAAATGAGATCAGGTAGTGTGTGCCTTCATTCTTCATTGTTTCAGGCTTGACTTAGCTATAATAATCACTGCATGGGGAAAGCTGTTGCTATTGCTGCCTCTCCTTCAGATGTCAAGATCTTTCATTAAAAGTGGAAGTCCTTTAGATTAAGAAAATACTATCAATCAGGAGGGGGTAAAAAATGCCTGAGAAAATATATTAAAAATCTATAGCTTATACCTGCCTCAAAACCCATATCCATTGTGGGAGGCACTTAACTGCAGAACAGTAATTGCAAGAATCAACGCCGTTTGTCACTGTTTATACTAGAGTTTGTAGGAAGAGAAGTGAAAATATATTTTCCCTTTCTTTATCCTTAAAGATTTTATTTATTTATTGTTAGAGAGAGGGGAAAGAAGGGAGAAAGAGGGAGAGAAAGATCGGTTGCCTCCTGCACACACTCAACTGGGGACCTGGCCTGCAACCCAGACATGTGCCCTGACTGGGAATCAAACCAGCAACCTACAGGGCCACAGGCCAGCGCTCAGTCCATTGAGTCACACCAGCCTCGGCCCATTCCTTTTATTGTATTTTATTATTTATGCTATTATAGTTGTCCCTAATTTTTCCCTCTTTGTTTACCTCCACCCAGCTCCCCTACTCCCTCAGGCAATCTCCATACCATTGTCCATGTCATTTCCAAGGGTCACGCATGTATGTTCTTTCGCTAATTCCTTCACCTTCTTTCATCCAGTTCCACCCTACTCCCCTCCAACAGCTGCCAGTCTGTTCCTTGTATCTATGTGTCTGTTTCTGTTTTGTTCATTAGTTTATTTTGTTCATTAGATTCCATACATAAGTGAGATCACAGTAGTTGGCTTTCACTGACTGGCTTATTTCACTTAACACAATAGTTTCCAGGTCCATCCATGCTGTCACAAAAGATAAGAGTTCCTTCTTTTTTACTGCAACATATTTTCCCTTTCTCATTATCAACTGAAAAATAGCTACAGCTTGACACATTAAACTGAAAATAAAAAATATGAGAAAGACTGAAATATTACAATAGTTCATATATAAATCAAGTAATAATGGTTCTAAGTACACTTTCTCAAATGTT